TCCACAACTAGACTGAAGAACAAAACGACAGCAACTTGTCTGTTCCCCTTCCCCTAATTCTCCAGCACTGTTCCCATCCCCCCAATTCCCTAATAAAAAATCTTTAAAAAAAAAAAGTTACTTTAAAAGAATAAATAAATAAATAAGTAAATATTTGTATTTACATATATTTATATTAAAACCAGACTCTCTATATATGTGAGTGTGTATGTGTATACATATATATACATATATATGTATATATATATAGTAGACTATATATCTACATCTATGTAGAGAGAAAGATCTATATCTGTATATAACTTGGGTTTAAAACGTTCTTCCAACCTATTATATATAAATTATATATTTTATTTATGATTTATAATTGTATAAAATTATATATTTTGTAATATATAATATTTATATAAATATGCATTTATATATAATTTATAAGTTTGAATTTCATAAAATTTAAATATATACTTTTATTTTACGTATATATTTATTTATAATAAAATATATAATATATAAGTAATATACAAATAAAATCAGTTGGTGTAAAGGAGCATTGAGTATTATTGTGACCAAAAATGTATCAAATCAAGAACTAGGACCTCTGGTATGTCAGTAAGTACAATGCTCTATTCCCTGTGCTTGTCTTTTCTTTCCCTTTTCCCTCACCTCAGCATCCTCTGGTGCAAATTGAGTTACTAGGTCAGCTGCCCCTTTCAACACTGGACAGCCAGGACTTCCTGTCCTTATGACTTAACCCAGAGAACCTCAGTAGCTTTAGCACACTTTCTGGGAACCTCCTCTTATAAAACTTGGTACATTCTAGCACCTGGCACGGTGCTAGAGTCACCCTGGTTCCCTAAAGTGCTCCCCTTGGAGGCCATTGAATGAATGGAAAACATCTGAAGATGGACCCTGAAGGTTGTGTAGGACTTGGGAAATGGGCAGAAAGGGAAAGGGATGCGGTGGCTTGGGGATCTGAAGAGGTGGATCTGTCCAGAGCAGAGAGGTTCTGTGGGGGAAGCATACAGGAGAGATTCGGAGGCTGCAGTCATGGGTCTCGAATATCAGGCTGCAGAGCGTGGACTTGGAGCAACAGAGAGCAATTGGAGGTTGATGTGTGGGAAAGAGGAGACAAGATGAGAGTGTCAGAAAGATGAATGCACAAGATATTAAACTGATAAAGACCAAAAAACTGAAAAGCGATGGGAGGAGGATGTCAGTGGTGTGGACAGATTGGAGAGTTAAGATCTCAAACACAGTAGCCCCAATTAAGAGGCATTGCTGCAGTTATTAAATTTTAGACCGATTATAATGGTGCTACAGGAAAGAGATCGAGGAATGGGTGGGAAAGAAAAGCTCCTCCACAGCATATGGGCTAATGTTGATTTGAGGAAAAAATACTGAAATGTTGTGATTTTGAAGGTTTTCTTTTGTGTTTTTTATTATATATATGTATACACATACATATATGTTTATCACTGCATGGCTGTTATCAAGAGACACTGATTACATACGTATAGAGTGACAGCTCTCTACTACGCGTGTTCTGCCCGCAGAGTAGGAGGGTGAAGAATGAGATAGCTGCCCTTGGGGGCCTACTTTTTGGTGACTCTCGTCCCGATAATAGTATTCGGATGTCTTATTCTTCTACAAAACCATGCCCCTTCCACATGTTCAATGCTGCATTTAGTTCTGCCTGACAGACCCCTAGTAGCGTTTTGAGCAAGTTGAGAGGATGATTGTTGATGCTCAGAGGAACTGCGGGGCCACCACTGTGCATCAAGTAGAAGTACTCATACTCCCAGTCTGGCCAAACTGGAAACCTGAGTATGTCTGTAAAATGATAAGGGTAAAGAAGGTTAAACTGTGCATGTTTACTAAATTCCAGATTACTAGAATTTTGGGAGAGCTCCCTGAAACTTGGAAAAAGAGAAACGCAGGCCAGGTAAAAGGCAAAACCCCCTACATCCCAGTAGTAAATTGCATGACCCAAGGAGGTGACATAGATGGAAATAGGGGTTTGTTTCTGTTGATCTAGAATGGATTATCACAAGGTGGTAGAGCTCATCTCTTGTCAAGGCCAGTAGCAAGAAGGCATAGCACAGGAGCTGTGGAAATTTGCTAGAGGCCCCTCCAGCAGAAAGTCTGGCAGAAAGTCTGTGTGGCCTCCACCCTGCCCGCTTCCTGGGGAGTAGAGAAGAGTCTTCTGTGTACATCATAATCACAACCAAGCCCAAATTTCTCTGGTACGTCGTTGGTCCTGTTGTGTCTTGACAACATCATGTAGAAAGCTGCTTTACTGTAATTGAAGAAAATCTCAAGGTTTTCAGTTTTACAGTTGGGTAATTTATAGGCATATAATGTAACTGTTAAAACCCAGATTGACTTGAAACACATTCCTATTTTTTATTCCTTTGTATTTCCAACCTTTTTTTCTTTACAACCTGACCCATTTGATTTTGAGTTCAATCCTTAGAGAAATATGTTTTTTCCCTGCTTCAGATACAGCATTTTTGAAGTCAAAATTCTTCTGCAGCACCCCAGATAACGTGGTTTGCTTTCCCTCCTCTCACACCTCTTTCACTTCTCTGGCCTCTACGCCTCCAGGCTTCTCACCAGGGGGTCCTTCCAATCCTAATCTTTCCCCCTCCTTGCTCAGCACATCTCCGGTGTCCTCGTCTTCCTTTTTCTAAGAGGAAATTTCTCAGGTCAGTCCTCCCATCCCTTGTCAATCCCCGTTCCATTCCTTAACTTTGGCTTGAGTTTGGGGACAAGAAAAGTGAATTAAAGAGAGATGACTCAGACATTTTGAGCCTGGATGTTTTAGAAAGTGATAATATTATTAGAAATTAGAGAATTATACAAGGAATTGATTTGTGAAAAGAGAGAAGGAAATTATACAAAAAGTCTTAATGTAAATTTTAATGTGCCAGCAGAATAGCCAAGTGGGATTGTCTGGTAGGCAACTGAGATATGAACTAATACTCAGCAGAGAAAGTAAAGCCAAAGCAAACAAACAAAAACAAAACCCCACAGATTTAGGGTCCTCAACATGGAGGCGATAGTTGAAGTCAAAACAGACGATGAGATAACTCAAGGGGAGAGTGTAGGAAAAACACAGGAAGGCTGGGGGCAGAGTCTGTAAAATGGCCAAATTTGTGGAATGGGGAGAGAAAAAAGAAGTGACTAGAAAATTAAGAAAGGATGCTGTACAAGAGAGTAGAGATTTGAAAAGCAAGAATTTGTCAGCTTTGGTAAATGCTGTGGGGAGCACACAGGGGGAGAGGAATTCTACTTTGCATGGAACAATTGAGTACGCAGGTGGGGTGAGGTCATGTTGCAAGAGGTTCACACTCCCTTTAAATCTTATATGATTTCTTTATTTCTGTATTTTTTTAAATTGTTTTTTAAAGATTTTATTGGGGAATTGTGGGAGAACAGCGTTGGGGAATCTGGGAAGGGGAACAGACAAGTTGCTGTCCTTTTGTTCTTCAGTCTAGTTGTGGAGGACGTTGCTTCACTGGCCCATGTTGGTATTATCATNTTCTTCTTCTCCTTCTTCTCCCCCTCCCCCTCCTTCTTCTTCTTCCTCTTCCTCCTCCTCCTCTTCCTCTTCTTCTTCCCCCCTTCCCTTTCCCCCTCCACCTCCCTGTAGTATCATTATGTGAATTTATAGTGTTCCCTATTTAAAAATTCATCTCCTGGTCTTGGAGTTACTATTAGAAAAAAACACATTTAATAGTACATGCCATAATTGACATTTTTTTTGTCTTTTGATATAGTAGGAATGACTAAAACTTGGAAGACTTCTGTAACTAACTTGTAGAAATTTGACATCAAAGTGTCTCAAATATGTTTCAAATATGTAGGTAGAATGATTTTATTGCATTCTAACTAATAATGCCTAACTCTTGATATACTCTTCAATAATAAGATGCTTAAATAGTTAGCTAAATAGAATTTTTTATGAATTAGCATTGCTTATCTAAGGCAAGGCAGCATGGAAAATACGTTGAGTCTTCTTTTTACAACATAGGATAAATGATCATCTTTTTGTTTTTACCTCAGCTGTCAGGGACAAACCCAATACTGAAGGAAATGTCAAACACTGAATCAGCTCATTGAGAATTGTAGTCTAAAGACAAAGAAAGATTCTGACAAAATGATCACACTGATATTAATAAAATTAAATGTGAGATAAACATGATTAACCTTATCAATGTTGCTTGGATTATTCCTAAAACCTAGTAGTTGTATGTTATATAAATGGATGTTCTTAAGTAGTCTTGGAAAGGGGTGGATGTTATATTCAAAGTATTCCTTTATATGGTAATTGAGGTTTGTTAAAGTTCCTATCTTGATTAATTTCCCATTCATGTAGCAGCCAGTATATTCTTAAAGATTTGTTGAAATGTAACTCTTACATTGCTTTACTTATTAGTTGTTCTATAATAATTCAAAATGTTTGTAACCAAAGATAAATGTTGATAAATGTTAGTAAGAAGCGGGGAATGGCATTTAAAGAACACCTTCTTATTCATATGCTATAATCCCATCCTTTTGCCGTCATTACTATTACGGAGATTTGTCTTACTCGCTACAAGTAAGCTTTCCTCTTCATACTGTATGAGCAACTCTTAACAAGCATTCAATTGTAGGTGCTGATTAACATTTTACAAATTGTATTTGATATTCACAACCAAGCACTTTAATATATCTCTCCAGCTGTTATACATGTGTAATAATCCATCTTTTTGACAGAATCATTATTGGAGGTCCTGAGAAGTGAAGACCTGCAAACTAACACCGAAGCTTTTTTATATTGTATGGGGGCTATCAAATTTCTTTCTGGAAATCCAGGATTTCTTAATGAAATGATCAGCAAAGATGCTGTGGAAATACTGATGAATTTGATAAAGCAAATAAATGAGAACACCAAGAAATGCGGTACATGTTTCCCCAATTCAGGTCACTTGTTAGTCCAAGTAAGTATTTTACTTGAAAAGGTTACATATGTAAAATTAGTTTTCATGTTACCTAGTACCAGTTACCTGCCAGGTGGGTGTAACAGATAACAAACTGGTGGCTGTTACCTACAGCCAGGTGGAGGCGCCTGGCTTTGGGGATCGAAGGTAGCAGTCACTGCCCCACCTCCTCCTTCCGTGTGCCCATTTTCCCTGGAAAGGCTATTCCATGGCTTTTGCATGGAGCAGCTGTCCACACAGCTTGCCATTTCCACTACCCTACAGAAAGCAGGTCTGGAAGAATGAAAAAGCTGCACCTCTCTGCAAAACAATTGCATGTTATAATCAGAATTTTAACAGGCAGAATTTGAACTTTTAGAGTTTTGAAGAGAGGCCTCACCTGGAGGTTGTTCATGATGATGGGTAGTTAATATCATGAATCTTGTATCTACAATAAAAACAGTAAGTTAATGATATTGAGTTGACAGTTGTTGAGGGGGTGTGTAGATGACACACATGCAAGCCTGAGACTGTAGGAACGAAGGTAACAAAACTGGATATGTTTAATACGACAAGGGCAGGAAGAAAAATTTTGTTATGTGTTAAGAGTTTTATTGCTTCTTTTGTGGCAGATTAAATTTCATAGTTAAATTATTTTCATTGGAGCTGCTTCAGCTCTCATTCTTTTTTAGATGAGCTTTTACTCGTTAATAGCATTTATATATCAGATAATAGCATATTTGATATAATAATTCATGAGATTTGAAATGTGCTTGTCAGTTAATGAGGATAGATTAAGCACTCGAAGCACTTGAAGCCTTTGGGAAAGTGTGTTCAAAATTAGATTTAGGCCCTGGTTTAAAGATGCTTAAAGTGTTTATGATGATTATTAATTTTGGGCTTTGTGATCTGTCTCCATTTTGAAAAAGATTATGAAAATCTCTTAGTCGCGAATGATTCAAAATTCTACTGGATGTGCCATCTTTTGGCTAGGAAGACTTAAACTATTTTTATGCTGCCAGTGTTATTGAGTTATTCAAAAATTTCCCTTAGTAAATAGTTATTTTGGTTATATAATTATTTTTCTTAAAATGCAAAAGAAACTATAAGGAAGAGTGTAAAAGTAAAATAGCTTTTATTTTCACCCTGAAATAACATACCTCCAACATTTTAGTAAACATTCTTCCATGCATGTGATGCACATACCGGGGGTGCCAAAAAAATTTATACACATTTTAAGAGATGTTATCTATGTATTACTTTTCGAAGTTGAATTGAATTACGGGAGCAATGTGTAGTCGGACGTTTGCTCAAAAGATGGCATTAATCAAATGAATGCTAGCATCATGTTATCAGTACAAATTGAGTATTACAATTTTAATGCAATTTTTCCCTTTCTTAAAATATATATACATTTTTTAGCACTCTCTGTATATGCTTACATATATGTATACTTTTATATAAATCTTGCTTTTTATCATGGAACCTGTTGTTTTTAATAGTTATTTTTTTCCATCACATTCTTCCCTCCTGGTTTCTCCTTGTGGCCCAGCCAGTTAGCCAGCGATGTTCACACTCACGTGCTCAGCGCTTTTTAATACACTCATCAGTTTTCAAACATAAAATATTCTATGAACTTCTTTTTTCTCATTTCACAATAGTAAAAACCCCTTGAGTCAACTCTATAGACTTATTTTATTCTTTTTAATGGCAGCATAATATTCTGTGATAAGGCTATACCTCAAATAACTAATATATACACATATATATTTATATAATTAAATAAACCATCAAATAAAATTTATACATTATAAAATATAAATTATTATTGATTTAACTAAAAAAAATAAATACTTGGGGCCTGCCGAGTGGCGCGATGGTTAAGAACT